TCAGAAAATAGCAATACAGGAATATGAAAATCTATGAACCAAGAGAGCATTTTAGAGTGATTTTCTCAAGATAGGATTATGAAGGGTTTTTTAAAATTGTTTTTCCTTACCCATATTTGCTAATTATATTTTTACAGTAAATGTTCTTTACTTTTGTAATAATTATAAAGCAATAATATTTATTTTAAATTTTATTTAAGAAAGCACTGTTGGTGTATGTATTTATCCTGTATTAAGTCAGGGATACTGCTTAATTATTGTATTTTATTAGCTGCACAAAGATTATTGGAAATAGTCTCAAAAAGCAGCATATTTGGCCATCACCATGAAAAATCGTTTAAGTGTAGCATTGTTTCCGCAGTTGATGACTATGAACAATCTCTCCCAAACAAAGGATTTAATGTCAGGAAAAAAAAACAAAGCATCCGGAATATAGCTCTGAATTGACAGGAATCCCTCACACACATAGACAGAAAAGTGAATATAATCTCTGGTCACTTCCTTTGTCCGGAGGAATCTAAGAGATCCTAGTGTTCTGAGAAGTCAATCTCTACCAGTCTTATGGGTAGTATAGGAAGACATCTCAGTCAACACGGCCTACATTTAAAAAAACAAAGAGCCTCACAAAGGGTACTAAGAACTGCTGAACGATGTTCAACAAATCACACTATCACCATGCTACATTTTCATTTCTAATTCATGCGTCCATTTTTCTGCTAGACACATAAGAAAGCGAATTGAAAAGGCTTATAAAACAAAATTTCAAGGTCAATCAAAACATATATTTACAAATTAAGGAAACCTTTTACCCACATTATACCAAATTAAGTATTAATAGATGTTTAGTTTCTGTTTTATTAAATGATTCGTAATACACAGCCTGTTATTTGTTCTTATAGTATCACTCACAAATAACATAAGGGTATCAAAATTGTTATGTAAATCAAAATAGACTGTTGCTAGCTTCTTCTGTCTTCTGAGGGGATGATTTCTACCAGTGATAGATAGGTCCCTGTACTGCTTACTTCCACCTATGGGAGCAAGTGAGGAAGAGAAAGGAAAGACTGAAATTCAAAACCTCTGCCCCCCAGTGGGGCCCAGAGTAGGTGACTCATTGTTTGCAGAGAATATCAGTGAGTTTTTGGACCAAGATGAGGATTTTGGGAAAAGAGAAAAGCAGGGAGATGTGAAGAGAGTCTTAGAACCAGCAACACGGTGGGAGAATGGAACATGCAGAGAAATGTAACCAGGAAGAGATCCTCAGGGGTGCTTTGGTCCAAGGGGTTGTTAGAACATCCGGTATTCAGTTTTAAGCTGTTTGTATTTCTGCAATTGAAAAGCCCTCCATTGCTCAAAACTTCAGTCACATCTGCTGCTCACAAATGCCTGGGGTGGTCTGAAGAAAATCAACACTAAGAGGTAACTTTGAGCCCAGGCTGGCATAGAACAAAGGGAAGAGAAGAGTCACAGGCCATGAGATGAGAATGAGCATGGGTGTCATGGAAGCAGGGACCATGAGCCACAAATAATCATGGAAATGAGAGACCAGTAAATTCACAGAAATCTTGAGGATATCAATAGAATATTCCCACAAAAGGTGGGATTTGGGATTTGAGCCACTTTGATGTCAATCTCCAAAGAAGAATAACTTTAGTTGATAGATAAGACATAATAATACAATTTTTAAATATTCTATTAGACATATTGCAAAATACTCTTTATAATAA